AAGTGAAGTCTAATGCGGCGGAGGAAGAGCAGACTGAGAGATCGATGCAAGAGAGAGTGCGAGTCCGAGGATCAAAATGGGTGTGAGTACCTGTATTTAAAACATGGAGGGGGTGGGTGGCAAGAAAAGCCTCTAACTGAATGCCACGGGAATCACAGTGAGACCCCCCCCAGAGGAAATGGTGGGCATTAAAATCACCAAGTAACAGAATCGGTGGCAGTAATGACGAAACAAAAAAGGCAATATCCGGAATAGATAATGCCCGAGAAGGAGAGAGATATAAAGAACAGAGTGTGTACCACCTATGCAAGTGGATACGGGCTGCTGTGTAATGCAGCAAAGTACGAACAAATAGCTGATGGTACGGAATATCAGTGCGTAGAAAAAGGGCACTTTCATTAAAGGTCCCATCAGGAAAAGGATCTGAAGAATACAATAAATTATAGCCTGAGATGGGAGAGATAACAGCAGAGTGTAATTTTGGTTCCTGTAAGCAAACACCAACAGGGGAAAACTGGGAGAGTAACATCTGAAGCTCACCCTGATTACCCCTGAGGCCATGTATATTCCACTGTAAATAGGCCATGATTGGCAATGATAAAGATACCTGAAATACGCAGGTAAGGGTCCCTACAGACTAGAGGGGTTAGAAAAGTCCACATGCAGAGGCAGTGGAAAACGTTCAAGCAGTGAAGGAACGGTGCGCTGTGAAGAAAGGAGTTGCGCAGATGGAGCAGAGAGAGAAGGAGCGGAGGGTGGATCAGTGTCCATTGATGGTTTGGTCTCTGCAATATATTCAGAGATTGCTTCAAGTGTTTCGGAATTCAGAGACGTCGTATGGGAGACAATATTGGAAATGGTAGGGGGAGGATGAGTAAAGATTGGAACTGTATTGGACTCTACCAAGGTAGGGGGGGGCGGAAAGGGTGGAGGGAACTGGAGAAGCGTGGAAGGGGACAGAAGAGGCAGAAACCTGGGAGGTGGCAGAAGAGGAAGAAACTTGGGAGGGAACAGGGGAGGAAGGTACAGTACGAGGAGGAGGGTGAACCTCTACACTTGTAACAGAGCCAGTGAGAGGGGGAGAACCAGGTACAGAGACAGGGAAGGTAAAATGAGGAGGTGGAAGATGGGTAGGTGTTAACGGACCTTTTTTTGACTTTTGAGAAGTAGAGGGACGATTGGGAGGTGGTGTCATACGAGATCTCATCGCTACTGAGGCTTGTGAGAGAGAACACGAAGAAGTGAGATCAGACCGAGGCGCTGAAGTAGGGACGTCTGAGCCGAGGACAGCAAAAGAATTAGATACAGGAGTGACTATGGGAGAGGGAACCACAGAGGTGGGTGCAGAAGATGGGATACCAGAAGTGGGGGGACGTTTTGAAACACGGGAATAAGAAACACGAGGTAGTCTCCCTTGAAGGCGGAGATGAGAAACTGCCATGGCATAAGGGAGACCTTCTGCCTCTTTGATGTAACGGATTTCCCGCTCGTTTAAGTAGACTTGACAACGGCAAGACTACGAAGGGTGAGCCTCATGACAATTAAGGCAAGAGGGAGGTCGATTGCAAGATGTATTAGAATGGTCATCGGCACCATGACTGGGCATTCGGCGATAGATCTGCAATATTTTGCTGGATGGCCAAATCACCAGCAATTTCTACACTGTTGCGGTGTAGGGATCACCTTTCGAACTTGTAACCCATGTCCTGCTACATAAACTGAGGATGGGAGTTCACGGCTGTCAAAAGTTATACGAGCCACATTGCTAGGGTATTGTCTCCGCCCGCGGGTAGGAAGAACATAAGTGTCTACCTTGAGGACTGGGAGATCTTGGAGTTCCAGCTGTTCAAGAATGTCAGTGCCACATGTCTGGAAATTTTGTTGAACTATGGTATGGGGCAGAATGACGGTACCACTACAAGAATTGAGGGAATGATGTTTTTCTATAGTGACAGGAACAGTATCGGTATTGTAAAGACGAGAAAGCTCATGAGCCTGGGTAGCATTCTGTACGGTGATGATGCACGTACCGTTCTTAAGAGCATGAAAAGAAATATCTTTACCAACATGGCGTAGGAGTGCCTTGCCAATACTGTGGTCAGAAAGATAGGCAGCAGAGGAAGTCGGTCGTAAAGTGAAGAATTTAGTCCATTGTGCAGTCTGAAACTGAGTGTGGAAAGGTAGTGAAGGACGTGTCGATCTTTTCTGAGAAGAACGAGAAGGTGGAGAAGTATCATCAGCAGGTAATTGTCATTGGCGTTTAGGCGTGGGACCAGAGTTGGTCCGACGTGGAACGGGTCGGCGATTCGAAAATTGCCGCACCGTAGAGGGAGAGGCCGGAAGCATAGTCAGAGGAGAGCGAAAGTCAGATAAATCGAAGGAGTCGGTCGAGGCCTCAGTACCTGAAGCGGGTGAGGAAACAGCACCGGCAAGAGGTACAGAGGCATGAGGAGTGTCCGAAGAGTGGTCCAAAGACAAGGCGGGGTCAGAACGGGGTGCGGTATCAAGAAGGGGCCCGGGGGTAGCAGGTTCATGGACTAGGGCTGGCATGGTTAGTTTACTTCTTTCTTTTTGTTTTTAAGAAAAAAAAGAAAGAAGAAAAGAAAAGAAAAATAAAAAAAAGAATAAAAAAAAGGGGGGACCGGGGAGGGATAGTTCCTAGGAGGAATGAAAGGGCCAGAAATCTCCCTCCACGCCCAAGAGGACCTCAGCACCGCAAGTAGCGCAGATGCAGCATGGAACCCGTGCCATACCCTACCCATCATGCCAGTAAACCGGCAATCCGGGATAGCAACCTCACATCTGCCGAGCTACCTCGGTGGACAAAAGAGAGGGCAGCCGGAAATCCGCCACAAAGCATACCTCCTTCGGCCACCACCCCCGGAATCCGAAAGGTGGCTTCCAGAGATACACCCATCGCCCGAGAGACACCCAAAGCCACCCTCCGGGATATCGGAGAGGGATCGGGACATCCCCAGGCAATCCAGATTCCACGGCAAACTACGCCACCGCCAAGAACCTCAACGGAATGGGATGGACCCCGGTACCCTTTCCCCTACCTAGGAACTAGCGTGCCTGTGGGAAAAAAAAAAAAAAAAAACCAAAGGCCAAAAAGGAAGGGCAAAAGGGAGGGGTGGGGAGGAGGAGGAGGAAAGGAAAAAGGGGAGGATGGGATAGGGAACAGGGGATTGGGGGGTAATTAGGTTCAGTCTGAGGAAGGAGACCGACAGGTCTAATTCCTCAGACCAAGAGCCTCTTCACCATGCCATGGAGCCCCCCTTGAAGAGGTATCCTAGATTAAATCTTCACAATGTACTTTTATGCGCACATGTGTTCTCAAGACCATTGTAAATAATGTATTTTGTAACGTATGCAAAGTTTATAGAAAACTTACATAAATACTTACACGTTTAAACCTTAAATGCTCATCAATCTTACATATGGAAAACCTTGCATTCATTCTAAGGTTTATCAATTTTACATATGGATAACCTTGTATTCATTTTGGCATTGTAAGTCTCAATTTTCATTTTTTTCATCAGAGAAGCTAGAAGAATTGATATACTGATTTGCATGCGATAAATTTAGTGCCCCATCCTACCTGTTTTACTCATTAATGGTAATAACATGAAAATCTAAATTGTTAGTGGCTTCAAACTTGATGTGCTGGTGTATTTTAGGATATTGGTCCCTCAGATATCAAGATAAATGCTTCTTCAGCTTGGATTCAAAGCTGGTGTTTCTTGGTTGAAGTTCTGATTTGGTTTTGGGCTGTGTATGTCCTAATTTGCCGTCTTTATTGAAGAAATTGGGTACTGGATCCATAACTCGTGAATACCTCAACTTATTCATTTCGAAGCTTCAGTGATATTTAAAATACAAACTAATGTTTCACTATTCCTTTCGCATGCAAATGGGGTACAGGAAGCTGAGGTTATGCAATACAGGGATACCCTTCTCGGTTCACGCGTGCACTGAGGTACAAGGAACTGGGGTTATGTAACGCAGGGATACCTTTTTTGAATCCCGCATACACTGAGGTACCATACACTGAGGTACCGGGAAATGGGATTATGTAACGCAGGGATACTTTCCTCGGACTAGTGACCACTATACACCTAGTTATTAAAGTTACTAGCTTTGTTAATCATATAACAATGCAATTGGAATTAGTCGTTTATTGGTTATCATAGGTGTAGGGGTTTTCATGTATGGGTGAGGAGGGATATTTGTGTTATCTCAAGTTCATGTTTGTGTGGTTGTTAATGATTTATTCTGTGTAAGACCTGTTTTTGTCTTTATCTATCTCTTGTATTGTATTGTTCTAAATAAAATATAAAAAAAAAAAAAAAAAAAAGCTTCGTAAGTTGAACTGAAACAGCAGACTACTAACAAATACACGTGTTGCGCAACAATTTTATTTTCGCCAGGGAGAAAGCACTACCCACCGTACAGATCATGTAGCACCTGGGGGAATGGGACGCTTTTAGAATCTTTCCAAGGGAAGACATGTCCAGTTCCTTGGATCAAGAGCCCCTCACCAAGGTGAGTCAACGACTCAATAAAAGCATGTAGCGTGGCATTCTATCGTTTCCTTTACTTCTGTCGGTTTGTTATAACAGATTCTAGTTATACATATTACTAGATTTATAAAATATTGTTTTCGTATGATTATTTTAGCTATTATAATTATCAAAACTAAGCGCTAAACCCGCCAGGGTCATAGTTATTTTATTACAGCCTAGGGCTGCAAGTGGCAACATCCATGATAGGAAAAAAATCATGAGTACTGTTCTACCTTTGATGAGTTCCCAGAGTTTTTCTACTCCCGGAGCCCGGTCATGGGCCAGGCTCGTCTGGTGTTTGCCTGGTCAACCAGGCAGTTGCTGCTGGTGGTCCGCTGCCCCACATATCCATCACAGCCTGGTTGATCTGGCACCTGGTGAAGATACTAATACAACTAGGTACTTTCTCTGCAGGCACTTCCCTGTGGTACTTACTTTATCACTCCTGGAGCTCCTGTTGCTCTTGGAGGAGGCGCGGGAGGAGGAGAGCAGCTGGGACTCGGAGGCCAAGCGGTTGAACTTCTGAGTAGCTTCCCTGACAGACACGGAGATCTTACGTTCCTCCTCCGAGCGTTCTCCACCACCACCACCTCCCATATCGGCAGTGTCTCCACCACCACCATCGCTGCTGCCTTCACCTCCCACCTGCAGTATGTGAAGCAAGAAGGGGCAAAAGTAAGCAAGCAAGTATATTCACATATATATAAATACAGTTACACAGATTATGATACATAGCTGCATTTGTGTAGAGAACCTGAGATAACCCAAAAAACTCGGACAGAGTGACTTATTTCCACTGGGGTCCTTTTATTTCCATTAATTACTGGACTTACTCCATAACAGTAACCATAGACACTAAATTTCAAGGGACTCAGAACATTGTCCAAGTACATAGTACTGGCCCAGATACACAGATCACACATTCAGTATTTTCAAGGCTACACGGGCGTTATATATAATTGAGATACAACAGTTTACATGATTCATGAAATCGTAATGACACGATTGCAAACAAACCATACCACGGGCGGGGTTAAAACCCGCGATCAGAGTCATAAAAGTCCAGACCGACGCGCTAGGCACTGGGCCAGTGGCTAGCGTGTTGGTCTGGAGTTTTATGACTCTTGATCGCGGGTTCTATCCCCGCCCGTGGTATGGTTCATATAATAGTTTTACTACCACCACCAACAGCCTGATAACTGAAGCTATCAACATGGTTGATAGCTTCAGTAATCAGGCTGTTAGTGGTGGACCACTACTGCGATAACCCCCAAAATCAATTACAAGTCAACCACATTGTCCCCGCAAGTGTCTCAACACATCACACACAATCTATCAACGTTTCACTGGGTTAACTTTCTTACGTGATTCCCACCATCAATTTCTGACCATTCCCTGCAAACTTACAAACACATTTTCTTTGTCAACTTTGGTTAGCTTAAATAAACTTGCAAAAGTGTATATGTAACCACACAAACAAATAAAAAAAAGCAGTCGTGATCAGATCTAGCAATGAAAGTACATAAGTACGTTTGTGGAGCAACTTGCAATGAGAACAGACTGATGTTGTAGTTGTCAGGCTTAGGTGGTGGTGAAGGTGGGAGGCAGAAGAGGAAGTGAAGGTGGGAGGCAGAAGAGGAGGTGAAGGTGGGAGGCAGAAGAGGAAGTGAAGGTGGGAGGCAAAAAGAGGAAGTGAAGGTGGGAGGAGCAGAAGAGGAAGTGAAGGGGAGCAGAAGAGGAAGTGAAAGTGGGAGCAGAAGAGGAAGTGAGGTGGGAGGCAGAAGAGGAGGTGAAGGTGGAGGCAGAAGAGGAAGTGAGGTGGGAGGCAGAAGAGGCAGGTGAAGGTGGGAGGCAGAAGAGGAAAGCTGAAGGTGGAGGCAGAAGAGGAATGAAGTGGGAGCCAGAAAGAGACAGTGAAGTGGGAGCAGAGAGGAGTGAAGGGCGAGGGTAAAGGAGGCCTGAATGGTGGGAGTTAAAGAGGAAGTGAAGGGGAGGCGGAAGAGGAGGTGAAGTGGAGCAGAGAAAGGGGTGAAGGTGGGAGGCGAAGAGGGAAGTGAAGGTGGAGGCAGAAGAGGTGAAGGTGGTAGGCAGAAGAGGAAGTGAAGGTGGGAGCAAGAGGAAGTGAAGGTGGCAGAGAGGAAGTGAAGGTGGGAGCCAAAGAGCAGGTGAAGGGGGAGGCTCAGAGAGGAGTGAAGGTGAGAGCAAACGAGGAAGTGAAGGTGGTAGCTGAGAACGAGGAAGTGAGCGGGAGGCAGAAGAGGCAGGTGAAGGTGGAGGCAGAAGAGGAAGTGAAGGTGGGAGGCAGAGAGGAGGTGACATCGGGAGGCAGAGCCAGTGAAAGGTCGGGAGCCAGAGAGATGACAGTGGGGGCACAAAAGACACGAAGTGAAGCCTGGGAGCAGAAGAGGACGTGAAGGTGGGAGCCCGAAGAGGAAGTGAAGTCTGGAGGCAGAACGAGAAGTGAAGGTGGAGCAGAAGAGGAGGTGAAGTGGAGGCCAGAAGAGAGGCGAAGTGAGGCTAGCAAAGTGAAGTGTAAGTGAGAGCAGAAAGGAAGTGAAGGTGGGAGCAGAAGAGGAGGTGAGGAGTGGAGGCAGTAGAGGAATAAGTGGAGGCAGAAGAGGATTGAGTGCGAGTTGAACGGAGCAGGCCAGTGAAGGTGGGAGGCAGAAGAGGAAGTGAAGTGGATGCAGAAGGATGAGGTGGGAGCAGAAGAGGAAGTGAAGGTGGGAGGCAGAAGAGGAAGTGAAGGTGGGAGGCAGAAGAGGAAGTGAAGGTGGGAGGCAGAAGAGGAAGTGAAGGTGGGAGGCAGAAGAGGAAGTGAAGGTGGGAGGCAGAAGAGGAAGTGAAGGTGGGAGGCAGAAGAGGAAGTGAAGGTGGGTGGCAGAAGAGGAAGTGAAGGTGGGAGGCAGAAGAGGAAGTGAAGGTGGGAGGCAGAAGAGGAGGTGAAGGTGGGAGGCAGAAGAGGAGGTGGTGCAAGAGAAGATGCAAGAGGAGGAGGAGGAGGACAGAGAGGAAGGGAGACAGGATAGTAAGGAAGAGGATAAGATGCCAGGCTCTCCATCGGGAGGGTGCGACAAAAAAAAAAAAAAGTCACTTAACGAAAGCTAGTCTACCAGCTACGTGTCTCCTACTTGCATCTAATCACAAACAAGCGGATAAACAAAACTCACGAAACCGTACATGAATGCAGCCGGAGGTTTGAACCCACGGCAAGCGGGTTCAAACATCCTACCCCCACTTTCCTGTATTTTTTTTCATAAACAAAAGCGGCTGTGATACGTCTGGTAACGAGAAACGACAAGCAACGTTCGTATATGAACGTTTGTGTGTGGTGGAGCGAGTTAGGTTGGTGAACGTGCTCAAGGTATATCTGTCTTGGCAAGTACCCCCGTGCACCCCTCGCTGGAGCACCACCTCGTGCACCCCTTGCTAGATCACCACCCTGTGCACCCCTCACTAGATCACTACCCCGTAACACCCCTCACTATAGATCACCACCCCGTGCATCCCTCACTCGATCACCACCCCGTGCACCCCTTACTTGAGCACCACCCCATGCACCCCTCACTAGAGCACCACACCGTGAACCCCTCACTAGAGCAGAACCCCCGTGCACCCTCACTAGGTCACCACCTCGTGCACCCCTCACTAGAGCACCACCCCGTGCACCCCTCACTAGAGCACCACCCCCGTGCACCCTCACTAGAGCACCACACCGTGAACCCCTCTCACTAGAGCACCACACCGTGAACCCCTCTCACTAGAGCACCACACCATGAACCCCTCACTAGAGCACCACACCGTGAACCCCTCACTAAATCACCACCCCGTGCACCTCTCACTAGATCACCACCCTATGCACCCCTTAACTTTACACTCAAGTTTAGCACTAAAAAATGTGCACTAAACCTGTTTGGGTCACAGCCTAAAGTGCCGCGGAGACTGTTTACATAGCTGAATACCCTCACATACCTGTGACTGGTTTTGAGTGCAGTTCTAACCTAGCGGCCCAGCTTGGGACCGGTGAACCAGGCTGCTGCTGCTGCTTGCATCTTGCATCCATAGCCATGGGGGTGCTCTTGTACTTGAAGCAAGTGGTGGTCCAATTTCCTCTTTTAGACCTGAACCTTCGTTCCAGCAATTTCATTCTTTCTAAATGAGCTCGTTCACACACCCTGGCCAGGGGCTTACCCTTGAAGAATGCTGTATCTTGCAAATCTTACTCTTCTTCCTTATCTACACAACACACCACACACACACACACAACGGGCCAGGAACCTACTCATCCTGAACCACAAAATAATACACACACAACAATCAACAAACCACAGCATGGCTAACTGCACTACACTAAACCACATCAAGATTACGTGGCAGAGTGTGAGTGCCAATTCCCTCAGACCACAATGTGTCAAGTTATGCAGTGTTCACACTACCACAGTGCAAGGTACTTTGAAGAACTGCGTGGTAACTGCTATTTTACTCCAGCTCCATGTCAAGATTACACCAAACGTTGATACCAGATGGCACCACAGTGCACACACCAGCACACACATTAACTCACACCCCCACACCTGACACAGCTCACGTTCAAAACGTGGCAGCACTTGTCACCTCCATCCACGGCATAGATACACCAAACGGTACCATGTGGCACCTTCCAACGGCCAACACACCTTGATCACCACATTCACCCACACATCCCACCTCACCCCACAGTCCCTCCCCAACGTTAAAACTGTCATCTTCAACCTCGCTCGCCAGGTTCAGTCTCGCTCAATATAAACCTGATAGCATTCAACCTCGCCAGCGGCAGATACACAACCTTGGTTCACCCAATCATCAACCACCAGCACCCCTTCACCCACTCGCCGCTCACTGACAACACAACGCTATCCATTCAGTAAATAAAGCTACAGGAAATACTGCCAACGTTCACATGAGGCAGCAAACATTATAATCTGTAGTAGATCAACCATGCATCGACACCTGTCTCAACAATATAACAGCAACGATATATGACTCAGAGTAGAGCAAGCAGACACATACACAGTAGCAGTAATATGAGAAGCAGCAACACATACATCAACAGTAGCAACATGAGAAGCAGCAACATATACATCAGTAGTAGCATCAACACATGCATCAGCAGCATCAACATGAGAAGCAGCAACATATACATCAGTAGCAATAACATGAGAAGCAGCAACATATACATCAGTAGTAGCATCAACACATGCAGCAGCAGCATCAACATGAGAAGCAGCAACATATACATCAGTAGCATCAACATGAGAAGCAGCAACATATACATCAGTAGCAGCATCAACATGAGAAGCAGCAACATATACATCAGTAGCAGCACAACTGAGAGCAGCAACAATATACATACATCAGTAGCAACAACATGAGAAGCAGCAACATATACATCAGTAGTAGCATCAACATGAGAAGCAGCAACATATACATCAGTAGTAGCATCAACATGAGAAGCAGCAACATATACATCAGTAGTAGCATCAACATGAGAAGCAGCAACATATACATCAGCAGTAGCATCAACATGAGAAGCAGCAACATATACATCAGTAGTAGCATCAACATGAGAAGCGGCAACATATACATCAGTAGCAACAACATGAGAA